CAGATAGCCAAGAGTCAGGTCTACCTACATGGTCAATTTCGTCTATGTCCATTTGAAAACGGCTTAAATATGCTCAAAATACTATGAAAATTTGAGGTGCTGGCCATAATTACCCCAAGTGACTCTAACTAAGATTAAACTTTTGTTTTGATTTGAGTTTGTTTTAATGCCATGAAACGTGATCTTAAGATAAGGATTAACTAAAAAAACATTTTCAGACTGTGCTGCAAAACGACCCATTAAAATCAACTAAAGAGATGACTTAAGTATTTGTTTAAGTTCATCAACTTAAGAATATTTATGAAGCGATTCTAAAGGCGGATCCGAGTAGGACTGGTAATCAGCCCACTTAATTTTTTTTAAAAACGGTTTCTCAAGTAGTAGAAAATTATTTTTATTCAGTTTTAGATAATTTTGCGTACTTTTGGTTACTAAAACTAAAATCCGAACAGTTCCTCGTCAGTATTATATCAATAATACACATGAATAATATATAGTTTTAAAATATGTATAGCATAAAATAACGGTTAATCTTGATATCTTGATGGTAGTAGGCCATATAGAATAATCATACGCATGCAATAAAGTAGAGTTCCCACTAATGTAACTGTTTTTTTCTCCCAAGCAAAAACATTTTTTTATTACACACCATTTTGAATCTCAAGAAATTTGCTACAAACTGACATATATTATCCCATGTGCTGAAAATCGCTTCATTTTTGTCGCGATGGTTGAAAAAATCGACGCTCAATCGCGATTAAGTGATAATTTTTTCGTGCATCGCGATTAATCGATGACTTTGTCAACCATCGCGATTAATCACGAAAATCATCAATTAATTGCGATTAATTATTGATTTTAAGTGATTAAATGGTGGTTGTTATTTACCATTTTCTTTTGTAATAAAGTTTGTATATAAGAAACACGATTTCAGCGAAAAATACACTTATATTCAGATCATCTTTTTATTTTAGAAAACAACGGAGTTGTCAAGAGTCTTTATTGTTCCTCAGAACTTTAAACCGAGAAGCCCACTGAACAGCTGGTATGTGGGCAATGTTTAAAGCTGACTCGTCGGCAAGACTTCGACGCCAGCTGGTGCTAAGACCATTGCTGTATGACGCACATGTCATTATACGTAATAAACAATGAAAAAACAGAAAAAAATATGTATTATTCCTAAGATGGGTTAGAACCTAGTACCTAGAAAAAAATCGTCAATTAATCGCGATTAAGCGCACGATTAATCGTATGATTTTTCACGATTAATTGCCGATTTTTATGCGATTTTTAGTACATGGGATCTACTATTACTTGAAAAAATGATAGAATGCCCAAGCACTGACCGAAATTAGAGAAGTAAGCAAAAATAGTGACACTTCCGTAAAGTTCTATACCCTGGAGAACGTACCTGATGCAAGTACTTGATTACTTGCTAAGTACTTGTTAATGATCAAAATACTTGCCTTATTGTTAAGTACTTTCTGAAAGTACTTGGCAAGTAAGGACAAGTACTTACAAGTAAATTTACTTCCAAAAAAAAGGCAAGTACCGGCTTTATTACGCAGACGAAATACTTGGTCCAAGTACGTTCTCTAGGGTAATAAGTCTGTGGATTTCTATACCGGATTTTCGCGACATTTTCTGTGAGATTCTTGACTGAGAGATAATGGCAGCAGATAATAAAAACGAAACTTGAGTTTATATAATCATCAATGCAGCTAAAAGCGCTCTGTGCGATATACATTAGCAGGATCAAGACCAACTTCAATGAAAATGTCGCCAGCGTCTATGCGAGACTTTGACAGTAGCGATTCATTTAGTTATCATTGTAGCTTACATTTGCCACACAACACATCAAATGCAAGACAATAGGTTTATAGGTTATTTAAAAGGGCCAATGATTGCGTGACTGCAGTAAGGAAGAAACACAACTCACAACAATACAACACACAATTCACAGCTAAACACGTAAGGACAACATGTATATAGAAATAGGAAAAAAATCACATTACATAGTTTTTCGTAATAATCTGATGAAATGTTATTGCCTTCTGCTGTCATATGAGAATTCTTGCCTCGTTCCAGACTCCTTCAGTCAAATAAAAACACTGAATGAAGTTGAGTGCACACATGTAATGCACGAAATTTTAACTAAAAGTGATTAAAATGTTGTTGAGCTGGAATTCTGATACGTCGGCTTGTCAGGTCTGTCACTTATACTTTTCTTTTAGATTCAAAATTATCTTTCTTACAGCACAGTATATAGATTCAAGTATTCAAATAACTATATCCACGTCAGCGCTCCCACTTCTGTTTAGACTATATGTAATATCTTCTGCAAGATATTTGATCTGTAAATGAAACAATCCAAACACTGTCTGTCCCCTGCACTTTTTTACGCTTTATCTCAAACTGACCAGAAAGCGGCTACAGAAGTTTTCCGCTATCGTCGAAACGACAATATATAATAGTAGAGTTGTTTAATTTCAAATTATACTTATAATTTTCCCTATGTGCACTTCATTCTGAGCTTCTGTTAATCGAACTTGCTTAAAGAGTTGATTACAATGATAGTTACTGTTAGTTTGCATCGCATCACGATTGCTCGCGGTTTAATTTAGATGTATTTATCACTAATGAGACGGTGTATGAAAAATATCCTCAAAAAAACTACTTAATCATATCCATGGAGCTTTAACTCATTTTTTTCAGATCTCGACGAGAAAAGCAATATTTAAACAACGTTGGATGATGGAGTTGTTCAGCTTTATGGACGATTTAAAGTATGTTGAATTGTACATATCGTAAATCTTTCAATCTAAATTTTTCTTGGGTTCTAGGCGTATGGATAAACGACAAGTAAATATCAAACTTACGCTTGAAATATGTTTTTTCAAATAGTCTAGTTTCTTACTATTTTAAGGGAATTTATCAAATACTAAATTTTGGAATGATCATTTCAACAGCACTAATGATTTGGAAAGGTTTAATGGTGTTAACTGGTAGTGAAAGTCCAATTGTTGTTGTATTAAGGTTTTGCATTAATATTTTTTTCGACTAAAAAATAATTATTGTTATTTTGTTTTAGTGGAAGTATGGAGCCTGCGTTTCATCGTGGAGATTTATTATTGTTAACCAATTATCGTGAAGAACCAATACGTGCTGGTGATATTGTTGTATTTAGAATTGAAGGACGCGATATTCCCATTGTACATCGAGTGATTAAAGTTCATGAAAAGTGCGTATAGTTAATATCCACTATTGATTGACATGTGTATAGTATTTTTGCTATTTGTAGAGAGGATGGTTATGTAAAATTTTTAACAAAAGGTGATAATAATCAGGTAGATGATCGTGGTCTCTACAGTCCTGGTCAGTTATGGTTAGAAAAAAAAGATGTCGTTGGAAGAGCAAGAGGGTACGTTAACGAAACTACAAGAACGATACCATTCGACGATATGTGATTCTTTTTAGATTTTTACCATATATCGGCATGGTTACCATATTAATGAATGATTATCCAAAACTGAAGGTAAATTTTTATTTTATTGCTCTATACTAATATCCATTTATTTTAAACGTATTTTTATGTTCACAAAACATCTGATTTAATTCTTTATTCGCCAACATATGATATAGAAAAATACTAGAAGTACTAGAGATTGTCATTATTCCATTTTAGTATGTGGTTTTGGCAACATTAGGCTTTTTTGTACTTGTGCATCGCGAGAATTAGAAGAGAATACAATGATGATCCTTAAAAATTCATTTATTATTGGGTTTTTTAAAGGAAGTTTATTTTATTTGTTTCGCATATCCGATGATAAGAATGGTAGTTTTGTTATTTGTTGTTGTTTTCTTTAAAAAAAAGAACGATAGACACTTTAAAACATATGTGTCTTTCTCTTTTCAAAATCTTTTTTAACTCTGTTTAGTCTACGTTTTGCTGTTGCTGTTATTATTCTTGAGAATCTATTGTTCTTATTGTTGTTTTTTCTTCTTGTAAAGTTAGCATCTATATAAGTAAATAACTAAAGATAACTTTTCTTTTTTTTTTACTTTGCATGTATCAGAAAGATAGTGGTGTAGACAAATCCTTTAAATTGGAGAATGTATCCGTTTGATGAGGGACTCAAAGGAATAGTCCGCATAAGGCTTGAAATCGGCCCACTAAATTATTACTATTTTATTGGCTCAATCTATTCAGAATTCATCAAACTTATCTTATTCAGTGCCTTCGACTTTTAAAAGTCGAAGGCACTGAATAAGATAAGTTTGATGAATTCTGAATAGATTGAGCCAATAAAATAGTAATAATTTAGTGGGCCGATTTCAAGCCTTATGCGGACTATTCCTTTGAGTCCCTCATCAAACGGATACATTCTCCAATTTAAAGGATTTGTCTACACCACTATCTTTCTGATACATGCAAAGTAAAAAAAAAAGAAAAGTTATCTTTAGTTATTTACTTATATAGATGCTAACTTTACAAGAAGAAAAAACAACAATAAGAACAATAGATTCTCAAGAATAATAACAGCAACAGCAAAACGTAGACTAAACAGAGTTAAAAAAGATTTTGAAAAGAGAAAGACACATATGTTTTAAAGTGTCTATCGTTCTTTTTTTTAAAGAAAACAACAACAAATAACAAAACTACCATTCTTATCATCGGATATGCGAAACAAATAAAATAAACTTCCTTTAAAAAACCCAATAATAAATGAATTTTTAAGGATCATCATTGTATTCTCTTCTAATTCTCGCGATGCACAAGTACAAAAAAGCCTAATGTTGCCAAAACCACATACTAAAATGGAATAATGACAATCTCTAGTACTTCTAGTATTTTTCTATATCATATGTTGGCGAATAAAGAATTAAATCAGATGTTTTGTGAACATAAAAATACGTTTAAAATAAATGGATATTAGTATAGAGCAATAAAATAAAAATTTACCTTCAGTTTTGGATAATCATTCATTAATATGGTAACCATGCCGATATATGGTAAAAATCTAAAAAGAATCACATATCGTCGAATGGTATCGTTCTTGTAGTTTCGTTAACGTACCCTCTTGCTCTTCCAACGACATCTTTTTTTTCTAACCATAACTGACCAGGACTGTAGAGACCACGATCATCTACCTGATTATTATCACCTTTTGTTAAAAATTTTACATAACCATCCTCTCTACAAATAGCAAAAATACTATACACATGTCAATCAATAGTGGATATTAACTATACGCACTTTTCATGAACTTTAATCACTCGATGTACAATGGGAATATCGCGTCCTTCAATTCTAAATACAACAATATCACCAGCACGTATTGGTTCTTCACGATAATTGGTTAACAATAATAAATCTCCACGATGAAACGCAGGCTCCATACTTCCACTAAAACAAAATAACAATAATTATTTTTTAGTCGAAAAAAATATTAATGCAAAACCTTAATACAACAACAATTGGACTTTCACTACCAGTTAACACCATTAAACCTTTCCAAATCATTAGTGCTGTTGAAATGATCATTCCAAAATTTAGTATTTGATAAATTCCCTTAAAATAGTAAGAAACTAGACTATTTGAAAAAACATATTTCAAGCGTAAGTTTGATATTTACTTGTCGTTTATCCATACGCCTAGAACCCAAGAAAAATTTAGATTGAAAGATTTACGATATGTACAATTCAACATACTTTAAATCGTCCATAAAGCTGAACAACTCCATCATCCAACGTTGTTTAAATATTGCTTTTCTCGTCGAGATCTGAAAAAAATGAGTTAAAGCTCCATGGATATGATTAAGTAGTTTTTTTGAGGATATTTTTCATACACCGTCTCATTAGTGATAAATACATCTAAATTAAACCGCGAGCAATCGTGATGCGATGCAAACTAACAGTAACTATCATTGTAATCAACTCTTTAAGCAAGTTCGATTAACAGAAGCTCAGAATGAAGTGCACATAGGGAAAATTATAAGTATAATTTGAAATTAAACAACTCTACTATTATATATTGTCGTTTCGACGATAGCGGAAAACTTCTGTAGCCGCTTTCTGGTCAGTTTGAGATAAAGCGTAAAAAAGTGCAGGGGACAGACAGTGTTTGGATTGTTTCATTTACAGATCAAATATCTTGCAGAAGATATTACATATAGTCTAAACAGAAGTGGGAGCGCTGACGTGGATATAGTTATTTGAATACTTGAATCTATATACTGTGCTGTAAGAAAGATAATTTTGAATCTAAAAGAAAAGTATAAGTGACAGACCTGACAAGCCGACGTATCAGAATTCCAGCTCAACAACATTTTAATCACTTTTAGTTAAAATTTCGTGCATTACATGTGTGCACTCAACTTCATTCAGTGTTTTTATTTGACTGAAGGAGTCTGGAACGAGGCAAGAATTCTCATATGACAGCAGAAGGCAATAACATTTCATCAGATTATTACGAAAAACTATGTAATGTGATTTTTTTCCTATTTCTATATACATGTTGTCCTTACGTGTTTAGCTGTGAATTGTGTGTTGTATTGTTGTGAGTTGTGTTTCTTCCTTACTGCAGTCACGCAATCATTGGCCCTTTTAAATAACCTATAAACCTATTGTCTTGCATTTGATGTGTTGTGTGGCAAATGTAAGCTACAATGATAACTAAATGAATCGCTACTGTCAAAGTCTCGCATAGACGCTGGCGACATTTTCATTGAAGTTGGTCTTGATCCTGCTAATGTATATCGCACAGAGCGCTTTTAGCTGCATTGATGATTATATAAACTCAAGTTTCGTTTTTATTATCTGCTGCCATTATCTCTCAGTCAAGAATCTCACAGAAAATGTCGCGAAAATCCGGTATAGAAATCCACAGACTTATTACCCTAGAGAACGTACTTGGACCAAGTATTTCGTCTGCGTAATAAAGCCGGTACTTGCCTTTTTTTTGGAAGTAAATTTACTTGTAAGTACTTGTCCTTACTTGCCAAGTACTTTCAGAAAGTACTTAACAATAAGGCAAGTATTTTGATCATTAACAAGTACTTAGCAAGTAATCAAGTACTTGCATCAGGTACGTTCTCCAGGGTATAGAACTTTACGGAAGTGTCACTATTTTTGCTTACTTCTCTAATTTCGGTCAGTGCTTGGGCATTCTATCATTTTTTCAAGTAATAGTAGATCCCATGTACTAAAAATCGCATAAAAATCGGCAATTAATCGTGAAAAATCATACGATTAATCGTGCGCTTAATCGCGATTAATTGACGATTTTTTTCTAGGTACTAGGTTCTAACCCATCTTAGGAATAATACATATTTTTTTCTGTTTTTTCATTGTTTATTACGTATAATGACATGTGCGTCATACAGCAATGGTCTTAGCACCAGCTGGCGTCGAAGTCTTGCCGACGAGTCAGCTTTAAACATTGCCCACATACCAGCTGTTCAGTGGGCTTCTCGGTTTAAAGTTCTGAGGAACAATAAAGACTCTTGACAACTCCGTTGTTTTCTAAAATAAAAAGATGATCTGAATATAAGTGTATTTTTCGCTGAAATCGTGTTTCTTATATACAAACTTTATTACAAAAGAAAATGGTAAATAACAACCACCATTTAATCACTTAAAATCAATAATTAATCGCAATTAATTGATGATTTTCGTGATTAATCGCGATGGTTGACAAAGTCATCGATTAATCGCGATGCACGAAAAAATTATCACTTAATCGCGATTGAGCGTCGATTTTTTCAACCATCGCGACAAAAATGAAGCGATTTTCAGCACATGGGATAATATATGTCAGTTTGTAGCAAATTTCTTGAGATTCAAAATGGTGTGTAATAAAAAAATGTTTTTGCTTGGGAGAAAAAAACAGTTACATTAGTGGGAACTCTACTTTATTGCATGCGTATGATTATTCTATATGGCCTACTACCATCAAGATATCAAGATTAACCGTTATTTTATGCTATACATATTTTAAAACTATATATTATTCATGTGTATTATTGATATAATACTGACGAGGAACTGTTCGGATTTTAGTTTTAGTAACCAAAAGTACGCAAAATTATCTAAAACTGAATAAAAATAATTTTCTACTACTTGAGAAACCGTTTTTAAAAAAAATTAAGTGGGCTGATTACCAGTCCTACTCGGATCCGCCTTTAGAATCGCTTCATAAATATTCTTAAGTTGATGAACTTAAACAAATACTTAAGTCATCTCTTTAGTTGATTTTAATGGGTCGTTTTGCAGCACAGTCTGAAAATGTTTTTTTAGTTAATCCTTATCTTAAGATCACGTTTCATGGCATTAAAACAAACTCAAATCAAAACAAAAGTTTAATCTTAGTTAGAGTCACTTGGGGTAATTATGGCCAGCACCTCAAATTTTCATAGTATTTTGAGCATATTTAAGCCGTTTTCAAATGGACATAGACGAAATTGACCATGTAGGTAGACCTGACTCTTGGCTATCTG